AGAAAGCAGTTTCAGATAGGCTAGGTACATTTTTCAAAGTTACATGGCTCATAAATGGCAGAGTTGAAATGCAATCTTAGGTGTAAGTTTGAAGCCCCACAGTCTAACCTACTTCACAACTCAGCTCCTTAACTTAATTCCACTTCTCAGGGAGAGGCTTCAGCACTAACTTTAGTAACAAGGCCTGAGTAACAACAGCAGCCTTACCTTTGAAATTCCAACCCAGGCCCCTATTTTGGTGAACTCCCAACTGGACACTAGACATCTCTATTATTTTGTGCCTGTACCAGATGAGAGGAAATTGATTTTCTTTGGGGTGGATACGAGAACAGTTCAAGTAGGCTTTGTCCTATGGGAAAGACAGATGCAATGCAAATATGCACAGTAATGTTTAACCCCTTACTACAATGAAAGTTCCATAAGTTCAGAGACCTAGTCTTACAGTCCAAGTTTGGAGCCCAGAGCTTGGAACTGAGATATTCAAGTACTTGTTGAATGAATTAATGACTACGTAAGTGAACAAACAGAGACTTCATGACCCAGGGACCAGAGACCTCAGTGTAGGAGCCTTTTCCTCCAGGGCATATCTGTCCATGCGCTGGTTCCTGGTTGCCAGTTTAGTGATTAACCCAATAAGATCCCTAAACCCAAACTTCCCTCCGATTTTCCCCTTGAGAGAAATCTCTCTCCACCCACAAGCTTACTATTAGTTTCCAAATGAGCTTAACTTTTCTCTACTGATACTTTTATATTACTCTAGCCCTACCTAGCCTCTGGGGGATTTAAAAAAAAAGTAGAGATTGCTTTTTGTGCTTTACATTAAAGATAAGTAAACAGACTTAACAATGACAGGCTGTTGTTAATAGTCTATCCTCTTCACTTATTCACAAAATATTTTTTGAACTCCCCTGCACACCAGGTTTGCTGTTAAAGAGCTGAGGACACTTTGAGGATGAAAACGAAATGGACAGGAATCCTTGCCCTTATGGAACTTAAATTCCAGAGAAGTAAACCAGAGAGTAAACCAAATAGATAAGTAAAATATAGGGTAAGTTAGGAGGTGATAAACACTAACAAAAGAGGCAAAGAACAGAAGTGAGATATGGTGTAATAAGGGCAGGGTGCAGGTGCAGTTTTAAATAGAACAGGTGTTGAGGGCTTTATTATATGCCCTCCAAAACAGATATATTAAAATCTTAACTCCTAGTACCTAAGAATGTGAATTTATTTAGAAAAAAAGTCTTTGCAGATGTAATTAGTTAAGTTCATGCTACACTAAGGAGGGCTCTTAGTCCAATATAACCAGTGTCCTTGTAAGAAGACAGTATGAAGACATACAGGGCAAGTGCCAGGTGGTATAGATGCAGAGACTGGAGTGACACAGTTATAAGCCAAAAAACAGCAAGGGTTTCTGACCATCACCAGAGGCAAGGAAGGAGTATACACAAAGCCTCAGAGGGAACAATGCCCCTCTGACACCTTGACTTGGGACTGTTACCTTCCAGAACTGAGGGAGAATAAATATCTGTTGTTTTAAGCCACCCAGTCTGTGGTACTTTGTAATGGGGCCCTAGAAAACTAACTTAGTTGGGAGAAAGGCCTTGACTGTGAAGATGTCATCTGAGAAAAGACCTGAAGTTGGTAAAGGAGCCAGGCACGTGGCTGTCTGGTGGGGTCGGGAAGGGCCTAAAGTAGGACAGGACTTAGCCCATTTGTGCAGGGGTAACAAGGCCTGAGTGGCTGGGGTAGGGTGAGGAGAGGGAGAGTAGCTTATGAAGACCAAAGGCAATGAGATCTAACGACCGTGGACTCATATAGCACAGTAGTGCTCAAAGTTTAGCTGGGCATTGTAATTACCTGGTAGACTTGTTAAAACACAGAAGCTAGACTCACCCCAGACCCTAGTTTTTGATTCAGTACACTGGGGTAGGGCCTGAGAAGATGCCTGTCTAACATGTTACTCATGCTGATATTATTTGTCCAGGAACCACACGTTGAGAGTCATTGTTGTAGGGTATCATAATGACTCAGATCTTTGTTTTGAGTGAGCTAAAAGCTATTAAAGGGTTAGAGCAGAAGAGGAACATAATATGACTTCTGTTTCAGCAGGACACTGCTTGTTGGGTTGAGAATAGAATGTAAGGAGTAGCAGGTGAAAGCAGAGAGACCAGTTATGAGACTATTAGAATAAAAAGGACATTATGTGACACATATTTAAAAGTAGATATGAACTAGTATGTGTTACATTAGACCCAAGGTATCTTTGTAGAGAAGAGGAGCATTTGGATTAATTCAAAGAAAACAAATATATAAATAAGAAGTTTGAGTTATTTGGTGCCTTGAAAGCTTGACATTCTTGGAGAACACCACTTATTTAAAACGAGTTACATTACCTCTGAGTGGCACCAGCGTCCCTTCCACATTCAACCATTTTAACAATCAAGCACATGTCACATCTTGAGATTTTTAATGGGCCCTGCAGGCCATCCACCAAAGTTTTGATTCCTTGGATTGCTTTTGAAAGAGAAAAGGGTCCTTTAACTCCATCCTAACACTAACTCAGAATTCTCTGAATTTTAAGAGTTTTTGGTAGAGTAGCTAATGAGGACTGTAGTGCACATGTCCTGTTAAAGCTCTCAGATCATTCTGAGTGACCTTTAAGAAGGTCCTAAAATAGATTAGAATGTATATTATCTTTTTATATAAAGCCTGAATCTGACAGTAGAAGAAATTTCAAATGGGAAGAATAAAACAAAATACTAGGGTTAATAATCACCCAAGAAGTAAGACTTAGAAGAGAACAATATACCCAACCTTTTTAAAGCATTTGATTTCTATTAACTCACTCTCTTTTCACTCAGTGCGCCTCCCTGATGATCTGTCATCGTAACAATACACTTTTACAGATACCCAGACTCCTTCAAAACATAATGGTCTTATTTCCTGATTATTTGAAAGACATTCTGAATTTTATAATTTGGGTTTTATAAATACTTTGACTTTAAAGAGTGTAATTGTTTTTTAAATAACCAAAATCCTGGAGAAAGATATAGCCTTCAAACTCTCTAGTCCAAAGGAAAAAGTAAAGCATCTTCTAAGTCTTATTTAGGCCACTTGAGTGCTGACATATTATAGCATTAGCTATATGATGGATCCTAAAGCAGAAATTATTTTCTCTGTTACTCAGTTTCCATATAAGTAAATTAAGCAAGTTTGGGACAAATCACAAAGACCCCAGTAAGCTCTAGCATTAGCTAATTTAAATTGTACCACCATATCCTAGATTTATTTTGACTTTATAAAAGGGCTGTTATTTTAATTTTTGTCCTCCCTTATATTAAAACTGAGATCCAAATTCAAACCTTAGAGTAGCCAGACTGGTAGCAACAAAGAAAGAAGCAGATGAGGAGCAAAAACAATAAAGTCAAGGACCAAGAAGTAGCCACCTATAAGAGGGCCATGGTGACCTCTAACTGAGGACATCTGATACTGACCTCTAGCCTATGTGTGAAGTGTAGGAATAGAGACTGTTTGTTAGAACTTCCCATGTTTCAGAAGCTCAACACATTCATTTTTGTTTAAAAAAAAAAAAAAAACCTTTAATCTTTAAGTGACAAGTAATTCAAAGTAAAAAAATCACCATCACTGTGTAGGCCAAATAAACATGTCTCCCGTGTGCATGCAATCACAAGCTAGTAGTTTGCATGATGAAAGCCACACTGATTAAGACTTATTCCTTCAGAGATTATTGTTGCCTCTAACTTTCCATAAGGGGAGCATCAGGATACATGAGTCCTTATCTTAATTAACTTTCTCTCTGAAAAATAACTACTAATCTCATGCATGCCCCTCCAAGGAAAAACTTAAATAAAATACTCATAATAGCCAAAGATAGACTGAGACAAAGACAAACATGGATGCTGAAAAATGCCCAGAGAATAACACACATTGGTTTTGCACAAGAGCCTTAGCCCACTGAGATTTGAGCTGTTTAGGCCTAAATCAAAACATGTTCTACTACTGGTCAGTTTCATTGGACAAACGGTAAACAGCAGAAGTCATGGTTGGGCTAACTGGTCATCAACTTGTCACAGGGTGAAAATTTATTTTCTTTTCCTTTCCTCCATTTTATATTTCCTCTGTAGATTCCACTCATTTTCAGCTTCTAAGTGCAATTATTCTTTGCTCATAAATAACAAGAATGGCCCCAATACCCAACCTAGAAAATAGACAAGTGAGGTTATAATTAATACTATAAATTGGATTTTTTCTTTGATTAAAATATTAATAGGTTTAAGAAGTAAGCATCTTTATGATATCTAAGTGTGTATTTGCTGATAATTCATTTCATATGGAGGTTCATAAAAAGTTTCAAGAAAAGGAACTTAGGCTCATGGATTTTCTATATAAATAAAATTAGATTTTATCACTTTGTCCCCTTGTTACTGCATCACACAAAAAATACCTGGATGAATTTTCACCAATTTTAGACAGTACAGTTGCAGAGGCCTGAATGAAAATATAAGCTATATTCTGTATCTCAAGTTGGATTCCTCCACCAAGGAACCTGAGACCAAGTCTTGGGTAATTGATTTGAGAGATGATTCAGGAAGCAGAAAGAATGGAAGGAGAGAAAAACAAAACAAAACAATTAAGCCACATTAATGAACTCATGACGGCAGTTACAAGGCTCATTCTACCAGGGAACATCTGAGAATCATACAGAATGTGTTTCAAAATGTTCCCTCTAAAAACCAGAGGTTGGGACTTTTATATAGAGACTCATTCTCCAGTGGTTGAGACTGGCCATGGGTATTATCTTTCCTGTATATAAAATTTTTCTTGGCTTTGCAAATTTTTCTTAATTTTGTAAAACTCTTGAAGCAGAAAAGCAGAGAGATCCAGGGGTCATTTTAGTTAGGGGGCTGTTGGTATCTTAGAAAGCATCCATCACATTGACAATTACAAAAAAACTAATACTTGTGCAATTTTTTTTTCAGGACCCATCAAAAAGGATGCCATTCTCCAGAGCAGCTAAAACTAAACTGAGGTACAAAGAGAAATCTATGGAATTTCCAGTCGAGAGAAAAGTTATAATCTTCATGCCAGCTATTGGGTGCTATGAGCAGCACTTTTTTGTTTTGTGTGTATTAATTCATTTACTCTTTACCACAACTCTATGCTATAGGCACTATTTTTATCCCATCTTATGATAACTAATTTAATGATAAAGAAATATAGCCACACCATTACAATATATCAAGGGAACAGAACATTAACTGTGGTTCAAATACATACCTAAATCAGCAGGCATAAGGGAAGACTCCTCGAATCTCAAGCACTGATTTGAATGCAAGGTGCTTCACATGTGGGTAACCCCAGAGAATATTCCCAGACCAGTAGTGGAAAGGATGTATTTGTTTAAATATGGTTATGATTCTCTTAAGTGATGAACAGCACACTAGCAAGTTGAGAAAAGTTTTCTGAACCTCTAGTCAAATTCTCTGGGAAAGCAGGACTCAAGTTAGAAGTATCTTATGGGTACTGAACTTTTAGGAAACACACCACTGTATCAAAAGATCCATGCACATTAAACAAATGCTTCTGCAAGTGTACCTGAAGAAAAATTCACACTAAAGGGAATTATGTTCTTAAAAACGTATTTTTGCTCTCCTGCTGGCCATTGCTATTGTGGGGCTTTAAGAAGGAAACAGGCATTTACAATTGCTTAACTCAGTACCACCACTTGAGCACCAAAGAGTATGTGTGTCCCATGCAGAAACTTTACTTCTCTTTCATAGTAACTAGTGATTTCCCCATCCTCTGCCTTTTTGGCTTCCAATACAGGTTTTGAGTACCATGGGGAATAAAATGGAGAAACAAGAGAGAATGGAAAAAGAAATGATAAAAAATAATGGGTAAAGTTATATCAAGTCACAATGATCATTTTTATTCTGATTCATTTAATTTTGTTTAGGCAGGTCAGGTGGACAAATGTTGTGGGCTTGGCTGAATGAGTCCCACTAGGTGAAAAAATCTGAAATCCCCTTAGTGATACCAAACAAACCTGTTAAAAACTGATGCTTGGCAAATAAGACATGTATCCACCCAGATTGGCACTCATTTCCTCACTACCCATGATTGATCTCTCCATGATCTGAGTTTCAATTTTGGTTAAACTAGGAGTTTGTTAAACTGTATTCAATTATATTAATGAGTTAATTAAATTTCCTGGATATGAAATCATACTGACACGGGGATATCACTGTCACAGAAATCCTTTCTATGTTGCTTGAAAATATAAAAGTGAATAAAATATAAAGAAAAAGTAGACATCTAGACATAAATGGCAGTGGCCTTAGGTATAAGAAGAGAGTTGGCTTGTCCATCTTATTAACCTCCTGACATAGATGCTAGTGTCTTGCTTGCTTAATTTTCCTTAGAAAGTCCAAATTTTAAAAGCATATGGTTCTATCAACAACTCACCAAAGAATATCTGCATATAAAGTATTTCTTTTAAATTGGAACCTGCAACAGTGAGCATGTTTCTGTCCTTTTCATGATATCATAATAAAGTGGAAATGGACATTTTGAGATTTTTGCATGATCTTCAGAACCTCCTTGACACCCTGATACTGTGTGCCAAATTATGAGTGCACATAATCTGGGGACAGGGTTTCATTAAATTCTTTCTTTAAATTCTCAAAGGGGTATGAGACATTTCCCCACATCAAACACACAAGACAAAGAGAAAATGAACAATCATGGTGAGATTATTTGATATTTAATTACTTATATCAAACTATTCTTAAGTGATGAACTACTGGCCTTCATTGAGGTATATCAAAGAGTCACCCCATGAATCCCTGGACAGATTCATGATTTCAAGATAGCCCATCTTATGAAATGCTTCAATATTCCTCTTTGCTTTGGCCAGTTAAGTTTAGTGCCAAATTTGTGGCCCACATGTACAATTATACGAGTCTGTAAGTAATCTATATTTTTGTGATCCAATTTAACCCTGGAATAATAGTCTTCCTAGCCTTGTGCCCAACTTCCTCAAATATTTATGTAATTATTCTGTGCCTTGTGTATTAAACTCCTGTGTAAATCAAATTCATAAAGTAAAGCTTCTTGGGAAGAAAGTTGAATCTTGGGCATTTAGGTCACACTTTAATTTTTGGCCCTGACCTTACTTTATTTTTCCTCATAGCACTTATATACATAACTCTCCACCAGTATATTACCTGTCAATTTGTTTATGAGTTTTGTCTGTCACCCCAATAGCAGTAAATGTCATAAGGCAGAGACATTGCCTAACATGTCTGGCACTACATGCCAATGTCTCTGAGTTCACAGAAAAGGTTGGTGACTGACTGTACCACAGAGCCCCACCAGCTAACTCACTCTTCTTGCTGTTTTGATTTCTCCTGATGAATTCTCCAAAGTATTCAAATAGAATCCATGTTTAAGTTTTGCAATCTCTTAAGTTTAGACAGAAATTCATTCTATATATCTGAATGTTCCCTATTTAAATAACAATATAATTCTTACCACTTGTTTTAAGTGTTTCTAAGAGGAGAAAATCATTGCCTTTACAAGAATTTTATAATTGGAAATCTGGGTACATTTTAGCAGAGGCTAATGGATACATACTTATTTTTCTGTAGAGTTGCTTTTGTATAATGCCTTGAAAGGAACTCTTATTAAACTTTTAAGGATATTCAAAACAAGCTTTCTTTTATGTTTCTCTAAAGAAATTAGCATACTGTTTGTAGCTTTATACCAACTTCAGTTTCATGGCCCTTAAATCATCGTTTATATACTCCCAGTATTCAGCAAAGAACAAAATATGTGTCCCATAGATTTTGTGGTTTGTTTTAAGGATACATGAGAGTACAATTGAGAACCATGCAATTTATAACAAATTCAATCTAGACAAGACAGCATATCATTAAATGCAGCTCCACCTATTTCTCCTTTCCTGCAAGAGACTTAAGATTGGAAATCACTCGCTCAAATATGAAATTCATGAAACACTTTAATTCCATGACAGCTATACACCAAGGACCAGAAAAATCATTTCATCTCAGAATGTTTTAAAGATCCCAGGCAAATGTAAACAGTAGATGAGATGCTGTTAGACATTAAGGATTCATTAAGCAGCTAAACTGAAAATCTACTGATTTATTTGGAATTCCATGGGATTCTGGTAGAGATTTATTAAATTATTTACCAAACTTCAACGGGAAAAATTACCATTTGTTGAATCTGAATATAATGCTTATAGGCTCCTTTATTTCACAATATGGTTTATATTAAGTGATAAAATACATGATACATGGTAAAATACAACTCATACCTACCATAATTTACCAGTAGTGATTCATTTTCATATAAAACTGCATTGCCTCTATGAGCTGACTCAATGATGTCTAAATATTCCTAAGATCTTGTGAATAAGATTTACCTTCTGTCAGGGAGGCATGTCTGGGTCTTAGAAACCAAAGTTTGGTATTTATACAGAGAATGATCATCTGTCTGTCAATGTGTTTTGAGAAAACTATCCATGTGATTCCACCATAATGGGTACCATTATAACTCATTTCAAAATTTTCTGAATAGATAGTACAGGCACTGGATATCGTTCCTCTCCAAACTTTAAGCCAAAAAGTTTGTGATAATTTGTTTTAACAATCATAAGAAATTAATAGACTCTTTCTTACCAGGAGTAACTTCTTTTCATGTGAATTTCCTAGAAGTATTTTATTCTGAACTTACTAGATCCAGTAAACTAGCAAAACATTTTTAGTTGAATAAACTTTCTCATCTTCCATTTTTCCTTTCACCCCTCAATTTAGGATTGAATGATTTATGTACTTGTGGATAATTTTTTTAAGCTAAAAAGATCCAAAATATTTGTCATTTCCAAGTTAAATCTGGCTATTCAAACATCATTAAGCCCAGAAGACCTCATATTAGTTTAGATAAATGACTTAAGATAAATTTTGAAACAGTTTAATAATAAAGGGAGAAGTTGATTTTTCATTTAATTAATAAACAACTGAACTAATTCAATTGTCCTTTACCCAATTTTAAGGTTATTTTAATCTATTAATACTGGGTCTGTCAGACTCAAGAGCCTGAGATTTGTTGGAAATCTGATGATTCTGTTGGGACAAAAGTTAAGCTCTGGTGTCTCTAGACAAAGAAGCAAAATGTCATTTGCACAGTCCATTTCATATTTTGTATCGTTGCTCCTTAAATCAACTTACATGTCCCTCAAGGAAGTGTGTCTGTATATTTTGTCCATCATAACCCTGTCAGTTCCTCATCCTGTCTTTATTTCCACTGAGATGAACAGATTAAGGGCCTTCCTTGGGTATCTGTTTAGGGCTCCATAACCGCCAAACTCAGGCTGCCTCCTTTCCATGTTGGCATTTGTCACCAGTGAGAATCTAGATTGGACAAATGCCTCAATTCAGGTCCATCTAAGACTGAGTAAAATGAAATAATTCCTCTTATTTTGTCACTTTGCTTTTAAACAAACACACAAAAAGTAGCATAACACAAAGTTATGGAATCAAACTGGAGTTTATATAATAAATGGCTCTCAGTTAAGTGTGACCTTGGACAACTAACTCTCTTCCAGCTCCCTTTTGCTCACCTATGCAAGGCACAAATTAACAGTTATTTATTTTGGCTGCTTGTTAGGAGGATTAAATGAGATGCTGTCTTCAAAGCTTTCATATAGTTCTAGCCTGTGGCAATTGGTCAGTAAAATGCCTCTATTACTCTTGCATCTTGTAAATAACTATTTGAGTGCAAGACATGTTCCTTAACTTCATGGCATCTTCTTCATCTCTTAAGTAAAGGAGTTTGAAAAAACTAATAATTTCCCATTTAGTAGTGAAATTCTAAGAACAACAGAAGTAAAAAGAGAAGGGATATTTATGTAAAAGTACATGTAAGGACAATAATGAATTTGGATATGTTCTACAACTGTCTTTTACTAATAAGCACTCCCATATTAACTATGAAGATCTATTATACCATAGATTATAAGAATATATATATCGATCTGTGAGATTTCCTCAATCCCAATATATAACAAAATAAAAGTTAATAACTATTATTTATGGCAGATACTGTTCTGAGGTTATAAGCGTATTAACTCTCTGATGCTTAAAAAACTCATACATATATATACAGTATGTGTATCTATATATATGTGTGTGTGTGTGTGTATATATATATATATATATACCTTTATACATAGATAAGTTATATGTATGTATGTATTCTCCCTAAAACAATACCCTAACATACATATAATTACAATTAAGACCCTACTATCTTTGTATAATATATTTATATAGAGAGAAACTATATGTATATTTTTTAGTAAATGAGGAAACTCATGCAAAACTTTCCCAATATAATCAGTCAGTAAAACTTTATGATTATTATATCTTTGCAAAATAGAGTTGATTTGTGCTTTAACCCTCTCACTTTACCTGTATACTTCTTTTTTTAGAACACACTCGACATTTATAACATCAGAAATTCTAATTTGAAAGTCATTTCAAATATTTAAGAAGTTTTAATAAATTTTAAATAAGTAGCATAACATGGTCTAAACTAAAATGTAGAATGACAAATACAGGAAATAAGCGGATGACTGTTAATATGAGGTTTAAGCACTGACATAAAAGTTTTAATCATTTTAAAAGGGAACATGTTGCTGAATAAAGAGTGAAATCTGGGAAATATGTCCAAGAAAAATGAAAATTCTAAAATAGCATTGTCCAAAAAAAATAAGGTGAAGCATACACATAAGACATATGTATTATTTCACATTTTCTAGTGCCATATTACAATAATTCTTAAAAACAGGGAAATTAATTAATTATAATAATATGTTAAACACATTACATTCTAAAATTTTTCATTTCAACATGTAATCCATATTATAGGCTATTAGTGAGCTATTTTATGTTCTTTTTGTCATATTAAATTTTTGAAATCCAGCATGCTTTTGATACAACAATTCATATTACAATCAAACTTGTTTTATTATGCTTTTCAGATATTGTGTTTTTTACCAGTTGAAGATCTATGGGAACCCTGAATTGAACAAGTCTATCAACACCATTTCTTCAATAACACTTGCTCACTTCATGTCTGTGTGTCACATTACCATAATTTTTGAAATACTTCATCTTTGTTCATTATTATTATATTTGTTATGGGGATCTGTGATCAGTGATCTTCAAAGTGACTACTGTAATTCTTTGGGGCACTGCAAATTGTGTCTATATAAGACAACAAATTAATCAATAAATGTTGTGTGTGTTCTGACTGCTCCACCGACGGGACATTCCTCTTTCTCTCTTTTTCTTTGGGCCTCCCTATTCCCTGAGACACAACAATATTTAAATTAGGTCAATTAATAACCCTACAATGACCTCTAAGTGTTCAAGTGGAAGAAGAGTCAAACATATCTCACTTTAAATTAAAAGCTAGAAATGATTAAGCTAAGTGAGGAAGGCATGGCAAAAGTCCAGATAGGCCACAATCCAGGCTTCTTGCACCAAACAGTTAGCCAAATTATGAATGCAAAGAAAAAGTTCTTAGAGGAAATTAAAAAGCTACTTCAGTGAAGAAACAAATGATAAGAAAGCAGAACATCCTTATTGCTGATATGAAGAAAGTTATAGAGGTCTAGGTAGAAGGTTTAGAAACCAGTCACAACAATCTTTTAAGCCAAACCCTAATCCAGAGCAAGGCCCTCCTAACCTTCTTCAACTCTACTAAGGCAGAGAGAGGTGAGGAAGCTGCAGAAGAAAGGCTGGAAGTTACCAGAGGTTAGTTCATGAGGCTTAAGGAAAGAAGCCATCTGTGTAACAGAAAAGTACAAGGTGAAGCAGCAGGTGTGAATGATATAGAAGCTGCAGAAAGTTATCCAGAAGATCTAGCTCTGATAATTCATGGAGACAGCTATGATTTTCAATGTAACAGAATAGCCCTGTATTGGAAAAGCAACAGATTTTCAATGTAGACAGAATAGCCTTGTATTGGAAGAAAATGCCATGTAAGACTTTAAAAGCTAAAGAGATGTCAATGCCTGGCTTCAAAGCTTCAAATGACAGGCTGAAACTCTTGTTAGAGGCAAAAGCAGCTGGTGACTTTAAGCTGAAGCCAATGCTTATTTATCATATAAAAAATCCAAGGACCCTTAAGAATTATGCTAAATGTACTCTGTGCGCTATAAATGGAACAACAAAGCCTCGTGACAGTACATCTCTTTTCAACAGGGTTTATTGCATGTTTTAAGCTCACTGTTGAGACCTACTGGTAAGAAAAAATGATTCCTTGCAAAATATTACTGTTCATTCTCAATGTACCTGGTCACCTAAGAGCTTTGATGGAGATAGACAATGAGAGGACTGTTGTTTTAATGATTGCTATCACAGTATCAATTCTGCAGCCCATGGATCAAGAAATCATTTCTATTTTCAAGTCTTATTGTTTGGGAAAAACATTTCATAAGGCTATAGCTGTCATAGATACTGATTCCCCTGATGGACCTGGGCAAAGTAAATTGAAAATGTTCTGGGAAGAATTCATCATTGTAGATACCACTGAGAACATTCATGATTCTTGGGAAAAGGTCAAACTTAGTAAGTTTGGATGGAGTTGATTTCAACACTCACGGATGACTTTGAGGGGTTAAGACTTCAGTGGAAGAAGTAATTACAGATGTGGTAGACTAGAATTAGAAGTGGAGTCTGAAGATAAGACTGAATTGATGCAATCTCATGATAAAACTTTAAAATGGATGGGGAGTTGCTTCTTGTGGATGAGTAAAAAAAGTAGTTTCTTGAGTCTGAATCTATCTGTTGCTGTGAAGATTGTTGAAATGACAATACAGGATTTGGAATATAATATAAACTTAGTTGACAAAGCAGCAGAAGTGTTTCAGGGGATTGACTCCAATTTTGAAAGAAGTTCTATTGTGGGTAAAATGCTGTCAAACAGCATTGCATCTTCAGAGAAATCATTTGTAAAAGGAAGAGTCCATCTATGTAGTGAACTTCATTGTTGTCTTAAGAAATTGCTACAGCCATCCAAACCTTCAGCACCCACCACCCTGTTTGGTCAGCAATCATCAGCATTGAGGCAAGACCCTCCACCAACAAAAAGATTATGACTTGCTGAAAGCTCAGATGAGGGTTAGCTTTTCTTAGCACTAAAAGATGTTTATTAATGTATGTACATTGTTATTTAAGACCTAATGTTATTCCACAGTTTATTTTTACAATATAGTGTAAACATAACTTGTATATACACTAGGAGACAAAAAAATTCATTTCACTCATTTTATTGGTATATTCACTTTATTGCAAAGTCTGGAACTGAACCCCCAATATCTCTGAGGTATGCCTGTATCTACATTTCAAGTGCTCAGCAGCTACATCTAAGTAGTGACTACCAAATTGGGCAATACAGGTATCCAAACTGTGCCTAAAACCAAAATGTAGCAAGAGGTTTATCTTTGAAAATCATATATTTACTTCTACTTTGAGATTCAAGAATTGTTTTAATAAGTTACTTAGAATTCATTACTGGTTCCGGCTTTGGGTTTAATGAGCTTTAGGATTGTATGAGGGTGGGGAAAGAACACTAGGCAGAGATAAAGTCTGGAATCAGGCTTGACTTGATTAAGTCACTTAAAATACATTAGCTTATTTTTCACATCTCTAAATAGGAGAATATTACATGTTTTACTTACTTCTCTGCATTGTTTTGAGGATTAAATGAAATAGTTTAAGTAAGCTTGTAAAGAAGAATGCAATATAAAGAATGATAACTATTGCTGAGATAAGTTGGTGATAATGATATCAGTATTCTTTTTAAATAAAAGTCTACATTAAATAGCCCTTTTGTAGGGAAAAAAATTCTAAAAAAATAGCTTTATTTGAATCATTAAGTTATAAAATTATTAGAAGTAGAATTATCTACCATAGACATAATTATTAAATTTGTTTAACAGTTGCCCTTATTTCATTTATTCACCAAACTTTGACCATTAGTTCTAAAAATATGTCAAGAAATAAAGGAGGTATGTCTAAATAACATAATGGGAATGGTGTTTTATATTTCCAGGAGCTGTATGAATTAGAAGTATATTATAAGCAACAGAAAAGTCATTTTGTCTATATTATCATAATAAATCATTAAGTCAACATTTTATGTTAATGAAACAGGTAAATTAGAGAAATATTTTATCAGGAAGCAGGAAATTTTAAGAAATAGTTTAATTTATTAATCACTGTCGTTAGCTGGATTGATAAATATTCACTTGTTCTAGATCAATTTTATCACAAGCATCACATCCTCTTCTAAGAGGACATGATTGTATAGTAAAAAGTAGTTAAAAGAAATTTAGGAAAAGCATGCAGTTAAAGATGTAAATTGTACTTAGCCTTCACTTGTGGTGAGAGAAATTTCAGGTATAGATTCATGAGAGAAAAGTCTGGATTAATTCACATTTTTGTAGAAGTTTTTTCAAAAATTTTCTGTCTGTAAATCAAGGTAAAGCAGAGAATATCCATTCTTGATTTATAAAACAACCACCATAATAACTTTGTACCTTAACATTCTATATCAAAGACATGCAGGTAAAAAATCATACATCAAAGGACAAAATACATTCTTCATCCTTTGATGTGGTTTAATTAGAAGACTTTTCTTCTCAAATGAAATATTTTATAGAATGCCAATATGTAAAACAAACTCAAACTAAAATGATATTTTATTAGTATAAGTTAATTTTACTTTCACATTTATATTTTTATTAATGTTCATCATAAGTAATGTTCATCAATTAAAAAATTTTTAAGATTATTAAAAATCATGGGGTCTCATTCTCTATGTATCTTTACATATGAATAGTTATAAATGTTGGATAAACCATACAAAATTCCTGATAATTGGCCAGTTTCAACCAGCAAAACTGACATCATATAGTTCATCATGTTTGTGTTTCTTAAATATCCCCACCTGTGATCTGTCCATTTTCTTTAATTTACAGCATTCAGAAACTTGAAATAGAAATATGGTGAAATTTGCTTCAAAGTTTAGTGACTAACAATATCAAGAATTTGCTCACATATATTATCATGAGGGCAAGAGTCGGACAACTAAAATTTAGTGTTTCATTGAAGGTTCTGATTCTCACTAAAAGATACTCTAAAGGATGCATATCAAACAGAAGGAAAATGATATCTAGAGAGGGGCTGAACTGCAAGAAGAAAGGTGCGAAAAGATACTGGCACATATGTGGGTAAATAAAAAATCACTAAGAGTATAAAATAAAATAATATTGTCTAATTTGGAAGGGATTAAAACTAAAACACTAGATAATGGTATTATTTAAGTTGAAAGATAATCTGAATAAACTGTTTAAGGTTGTGTATCATTCTTCAGTACAATAAAGATATTGATTAACTTCAGATGCCATTAACATGGCCACAAAGTTCTGTGTAGGAGTTTCAATGTATTCAAAACTGACAGTGTATGTTGGGTTTAATTTTTTACACAGTTGAAAATAGTTAAAAATAAAATCAGAATTAATTGTACTAAGAACCCCTTAAGTATACTCAGCAGAGCATAAGTAAGAAAAGCACAAGTCTGTGATATAGAAGATTGCTACATGGATACCTAGACACATAGGAAAAGCAATATATGCTTACATTGGCTATTTTCTACTAATGAGTCCATGTTAGCTCTATGTTCATTAATCACATTAGTCACTGTGGGGTCATATCCCTTCCACCAAGTATATAATCCAAGAACATGCTCAAATAGCCACCACACCCTCCCTCCATGCATGACCCATAGCTTCTCCCTAAATTTATTCACAGATAGGTTTATTAATTCAACTAATACTTTTAAAGTTTCTACCAAGTATCAGGCACCATAGCAGATACTGGATATGCAACAACGACAAAGGCAGGCAAGATTCCTGCTCTCATAGCATTTGCATCATAATTCAGGAGATGGGCAAAATCAAGAATGAATAAATGGGATAGTTTCCAAAAGTGCCACACTCCTTGAAGAAAATAAAATTAGACTATATGCTTGATGCAGTTTTGCAACTTTAGCATTATGGATATATTGTGCCAGACAGGTGTTTGGTGTAGGGGCTGTACTGTGCACTCTCAGATGCTTCGACCCACCAGATACTATTAGCACATTCTCAGTTATGACAACCAACAACATCTCTAGACACTGACAAATATCCCCCGGGGGGAGCAAAATCACCCTAGTTGAGAATCACAATGCCACAGT